CACGAAGGAAAGCTCGACTTTGCTGGGCAGCGAGACCTAACAACGATTGTGCGACGAATGGTTTACATTCAGAGGACGGTCCAACTTTCAAGATCGAAAGTTATAACCAATATAATTTGACATCTACTTTAAAATTAAGCTAGATGACCCTCTTTGCTCAGCTTATGTTTTCTCATGCAGGGCACTTTGCAATGATAATTATGGCATAAGTGTCGCAATGTTAACTACGAATCACGAAAGGAAATGATAGCAAATTTAAAAATCAGGTAAAACGCTCCTTCCATAGCTTTTGTACTAACCGATCCGATCCATACAAGTCGTTCAAAATGATGAATATACACATGGACGAATACCCGGAAAAGTCGCGTTAAAATCTTGCGACACAGTGACCGAAAATTGCTCGGAAATGGAACACCTATAAAAATTCATAAACATAATAACAATAATAGTAAATAATGGCATCACTTGCTTGCTTTATTGTGCTAAGAGATGGGTTTAATTCATCCGTTTACCATCTGTTAAACTTCTCAAGTAAGCACATATTCACAGAGAGTAAAAGCGAAACTGAAACAGCAATTAAACTTATTCTGCACTAATGGCATTACGAAAGGAAAGGAGGCTCCTACTGAAAATGTCTTTTCTCCAGTAACGGCAACTACAGCATAAAGATACACAAAATGAATCGACGGCGCGTACTTGGATCGATTGGAAAACAGTTCTGGTCATTGACTTTGTATTCTATCCAATCCATCAAAAGACAGATGTACACCGGCGCTGGCAACTTAGTCGGTTTTTTGTATTGATTGCCGTCTTTCCAGAGGTATTCATATCTAAAAATTGACAGTTCGAAATAACTGAAATAAAGTAAGTGAATACTGCAGTATTATAGAAAACGATATAAAACATCGTGCTTCATATTCAGTGACATGAGAACAAAGGGTAAGCATTTAGCTTTGCGTTCTCGTGGGACCGTGTTCGAATGTCATGCGTGGCATAAAGCTTTCTCAAGTTACTTGCTAACTTGTTTTAATCAGAAAATTTACCTACTGAGATTCTCCTTCCACCCTCCCATGCAATAAATTCAGAAGGTGGTCGAGAACAACAGCGACAGCGTTGTATTAAAGTATAATTATGCAATACCATGTGGGAAATGAGTATGTTAAGTGATACAAACGCGCTGTAACAGCAGTTCGCCTATATCCTCTTAATAGCCGATTAAAAATCAGCATGACGTGCAAACCTTTAGTGAACAACAATAACCTTCGTCGGAATGCTCGCTTCTCATAATTATCAGGGGTCATTACACTCTAGTACAGATGCCCATGTTCGTAGCATCTAAGTCGAGGTTTTCCAGCTGAGTGCCTGAAGTCATCTGAGAATTACTGTCACTGCTGAAGTTCATCGGTCATCTGTCAGCCGTGTTATGTAATCCGCTGTAGTGAGACTAGAGCTGCACGCAGCGGACTAGATGGCACTTTTGTTGGTGGTCCTCATCCCATTCGATTTTTGTAAATGGTTTCGGCTACTGTCCACGTACGTCAGGCGTCCAGGACCGCTTCGCCGTCATCCAGGCCGAATGGGTTTCCAGGTAACAGTACTTGCATAATTACCTCGTCTCCGGTGGCTTACTCCGCCTGAAGGAATAATGCGTCGTATCGCAGAAGAAAACGCCAATGAAGATTTTAAAAAATTTATTCAATAATTTCCAAGTACGAGTGTGGAAAAGACCGCAGAGAGAATACGCTGAACGGCCTTTTGCTAAGATGGGTTTTTTAAACTATCTCTTCCTCTACTTGCCTGAAGCGTCGACGAGCATTTGTGTGATGGAATGTCGCGACAGGATAATTAAAGTTATCACACTGGTTATCTGAAAAGTTATATTTCACTAATATGAGAACCCCTATTTTTTAAAGCTCAGCAGAAAACGCGTCAGCTCGGTAAAAAATTGCTGGACGTGCAGTAATCATTTGCAACATCTCAAATAAGGAACAGATACCAGGCAATTCGCTAAAAAAGAAAATAAATAATCAAACGAACATACTTCGTTCCACCCGACATTGTAGGGCAAGAAAGTTCTGTACAAAACTCGCAAACGGTGCCATAGATCAGATTAATTCTGTTAAAGAAATCCACCACTAAACAGAGGTGTTATGATAAAGCATTACGAAAACACAGCGCTGCACTGAGAGCATCATAATTCGCTCGTCAGTCGATGACTGTACCATGTACAGCAATCCAGTCGTTCAATTCCTCTCCGGGAGGTAGTTTCACTGCCTGACGAAGATCTAAGCCGGAATGTAAGCTGGCTTGAGCCTGCTTGTGAAGACTGTAACGAACGGTGCCCGGAACAAACTTTTTCTTTGGTCGAAACGTCTGAAGAACATAAAACTTAGTACAAAGTCGGTAATGTTCATAAATATTTTATCATTAAATTTCAGCAGCATTCTTTTACAGGCAACACCGCTTGCAAAAATAATCGCGAATGCTAAGCGAAACACTACACAACGTAATTGTTTTAAAAACACTGCTTTAGAAATCCATCTGATAACAACGGCACACAATATAACACATAACACAGCGATATATACTACTTACTTGAGAGGCGTATATACAAGAGAAGGCAGTGATGCAGTAGGTCAGCTTGCTTTGCACTTTAGATTTGGTGGATTCAATTAGCAAGGGTAGCGTAAAAAAGTACAGTAATACTCCGACTTAAACGTGAACTCAGAGTTACGTGGTTCTCAATTTTCATCAGACCCACCTATCGCATAACTTCGGGATATTACTGTATCTTACTAACAGTTAATCCTCTTGAACAAAGAAGTAACCCCACTGAGCTTAGTAGAACAAGCTGAGAAATGAGTAGAAAGTCGCAATGCACGCTAACAATAAAAAAATCATGTTCTGGTGCTGTCATACCATAGGGTGCGAAACATTTGACCATGCTATCTGATGCGCGTGTTACCATCACAACTGGAATAAACATCTCAAATAGCAGACTAGAAATCAACACAAATGTAATAAAATTTCAAATATGAAAATACATGTACATATATGACAGACCCAAAACCTACCAGAAATATTATAAAAAATGACGAGTTTAATACATTTCATAAAAGAAGACAATCATACGCACGAAATCCACAATCCAAAAGAAATTATGTTCATTTGGCAACAACTCAGCCTCAATTTGTAGTGTGCCTAATTCGAATGTTTGAAATTCACAAATCTGACATAGCTTCGTATTGTGTTTGTAGACAACTTTCCACCGATAGGTAATATAGCTGATACAGAAGAACATCTGCTAATCAGAGAGCTGGAAGCTCCCGACCACATAACTGTGTGCTGACAATGACCACCGGTGTGCATCAAAACGTACCACTCAAAGGCTAATAAACACCTGACAGATTACGTCAAACACTGATATAAACTAAACACCATTCACCTGAACAATAACGGCTTAAGCACAGAAGATGTAACGCAAGATGTAACACAATTTACTTGAGCAAAAAATGTAAACTAATGACGATGGTATTCGACTAAAGAACATTGATTTGTGGAACAGTGCGTTTCGATAGCCTAATAACTTGAAGGAAATCACGATTCATGAACGATTCAAGATTTCAATCTCCTAGATTTTCAAACGGACAATGAATGTTTCAACAATAACCATGAAATGCCAAAACAACAGCGGTGCATCTTACTTTATCTTTGTTTACGTGAAGGAAGTCCAAAATCGACGAAGCCATAAATCGACGCTTTAGTCATGCAAGAGTCTGAAAACACGTCATTCAATAAACGAAAGGTAGAAGCAGTAAAGAGCGATTAGCGCGTAACCGAACTTGTTGAACCACGCAGTGAACGACAGAACCGAAAATTACCATCAGCACAATTCCGTGACATGTAAAACGATGATGACTAAACGATTCATTAGAATCCGACTGGAGAAAACTCAAAAATGACCGTGTCACCGAAAACTAGCAACCAACAATAGGTCAGTATTAGAAAATGACAAAAAGTAGATCGTTTTCTTGCTGCCGGCTTCTAAACTAAAAAGCGGAGATAGGATGTGCAGCTTTACAGCGAAACATATAACACAGAAGCAGACCATAAGCATAGAAAGAATACCATACACCGAATATGACTGCTGTAATAAAAATGAAGGGATGAAAGAAATGACGATCGCAGACACGATGCCGATCAAACGAACAAGATAATGGTAGCAACAACGACTATAAAAATGCCCTTAGCAATCAGAATAATTATAAAAGGATTGGAATTTATAAAAGCGTTTATGAGGAGGGGGCAAGCGAGGTTGAAACTAGAATCGATTATGAGAGCCATGCTTACCATGGCGAAGATGATGACATCTGCAAAGACCACGTCGCAACGGAAAAATCATGCTGATAGGAACCAGTCATATAAATGATGATAGAAAGGACACGAAAATGACTGAAATGGTAAAAGACCATGGCAATGACAGTCACAGCATAAATTTATAGTAACTATGGAGACAATGACGTTAAGTCGATTAACGTAATGAAAACATAACTCATGATGGCGATAGGTTAAAACGGAAACAAGGCAATGCGGTGAAGACTGTAACCGTTAGAATAAAAAACTGCACTGATGATACTCAAATGGTAATAATGATATTATGCGAACAGCTGAAATAATTAATTGGAAGATTATGAAACAATGATTATGATAACAACGAAAATAAACGATATGAATACGAAGCTGATAAAGAAGGCGCACGACTACGACAACAATATGGCGAAGAAAACGACATGGAGATAAAAACAATGAAGACAACGATAATGATGAGGTTAGCGGTACGTGCTACATGCGGCCGACGGTACTGACAAAAGTCGTCGATACCATATTCGTAATTGCGACGATAATCACAAAGATGCGACGACTACAATTAAAATGATAATGACATTACTAATGATAGAAACGATGAAGTGAATAAAGCAATAAACTAACGATGGTGAAAATGAAATTATGACATCGCGAGAATGATGCTATAACTGTGCTAATGACATGAAACCGACAGTGGCGCTTGTTGATTTTAAAACGATGGAACGATTGCAATGCGAAATAGATGATAATCATGAAATGTAGATGAAAGTGATAACATGACAAAGGCAGTAATGTAATACGTTATAACAAGAATAACAAAAACACTTAAGACGAAACGAGAAATATTCAAATTGCATTTTGCGACTATGAAGCTATCATTTAAAAGTGATAACGAAGATGATGGTAAGTACTGAAACTGCAGGAATAAAAATTATTATGCTAATTATATTCATTACGACTTGAAGCAAATAGTGGCTATGATGTAACAGCAGTACAGAAAGAGAAAAGTGGCGATAGCAAAGATAATCATGCAATTAAACGCTGATAACGAGGTAATAACGCGATGACGATCGATGTTAACGATAAAGACGCAGAAGAAACAGAAAATTGCGATTACGAGACTATGGAAATAGAACTTTAATAATGAAAATACTGATGTGAGAACCGAAATTACCATAGTGGTAAGGTTATACGTTATTGACTGATGGTGATAACAACAAGAAATTAACGGTTTTGAACGGGCGACGTAGCCCCCGGAGACGGCAAAAACAGTGAGGATAATAATGTGACGAAAATGAAAGTGATAATGAAGGTGACGATGTAAAGAATATGAATTAAAATTTTACTGTCTGAACGGAATCATCGACGAACATTTTTCAGAAAAAAAACAGGAATCACATGACATAAAGGAAAACATTTATCATTGCATAATAACACAAAAGACAGAGACAAAAAACGAAAATGAAGCCATTATTACCTTAGCAACAGCTGACAATCAAGCGAAAAGCACTACTCTTTCACAATGAATCTTCATTTTGCAAATAAGGCGCATAGTTAACGATCGCTCTACTTTTGACGCGCTACTGTACTACTCTACGCGACTGTAGAGAGTTACCGTCCAGTAGTAATCGGTCCAGTTCATACCGATATGGACTGAGACTAATTTGTAGTTCAATCCAACATGGTATTATCGCAGAATTACTGGATAATTACTATGCATATCAGTATCAAAAAACTTAGCATTACCGTTTGCATTTTTAAGTTTACGCGCAATGGACTCGAAATAGGTTTATACAGCAATTAAGAAAAAATTACACACTACCTATCTCGATTAAATTACCAAATTAGCAAATTCGAATTGATATCAGTTTCTGATGGTATGGGCAAATTATTTCTCTCCACGGCTACACAAACACACCAGAGCAACCTGCCCTGCTCGAAGCAATATAAAACACTGTAGCCCTAAAATTTTGGTAAGGAAATGAAAGTTTGCAACCGCTAAACAAAATGTCGGTATTCTTCAAACTTTCACTTTCATGATAAGACCACTTCTGGTGCCCTTTCTTTCACGATGCTAATGAAGGGGCTGTGATTTCCATTTTTATGTCATAAACAGTAAATGATATTTTTAAAGACAGAATCTACGGCAGCTACGTGATAAACATGGTGTACAGTCTTGTTTCTTTATTACCATGACAAATATTGAAATAATGTGACTTAAATGTTTAAATTTATCTGTAAAAACTTGGTTAGTTGACATCTAACGGAGGTGGTCCTTCAGGCATCAGAGATTAAAAGAACGAAGAATAGAAGATCCAACAAGACGGCCAAAACCCGGTCAATGACGAAGCACTTTTAGAGACACCGCAATTCGTACACTCGGTTATGTCTCTAAATTCCGTCGCTTCCGAGTTCTCCAAATAAAAGCTGTCCGCTGGTTATGGTGATTTACCATTTTTGGTGCCGTACTTGATTAAAGCCAGCATCCTATCGGGCACTTTTTAGGCAAGTTGGGGTTTTCGTGTATAGTTCGCAACCGGCTGAATAATATACATAATTATGCAGCAAAATATAAATTACGAAATTTAAACTCTCCATAGATAAATCGAAGTACAACATCAAGAACAAAAGGCATTCTCCACTACCCATGTATATCCAGTCCAGCCAGCCCCTGCGTGTTCATCAGTTGTTATCGAGCTGGAGGATCGGGACGGCGGACGAGTGCCGCCACTGGTGCAAATTACTGATCTACTGGTGGCTCTGTTTCCCGCTACGGTCGACTACTGTTTAAGGACATCTGTCACCGTCGCGGATAACTTATCCAAACCCGTTGAAATAGCCGCAGTGATACTATATAATCAGCCGGTGTATATGTACGGCCAGTTGGCTTTTTTATACATCCTGCACGTGTACTGCATGTACTCAATCATGATCGTGCTGTGCATATTTGGCCAACCAGCACTGTGGAGTACCGACACGGTTGCTGATATAACGATCGGCGAGTTCGCATTCACTCTGCTGTACGCAAACAAGCTTATGCTTGGATGCTTTACAGCCATTGCCGCCAGACGTCGCCAAAGGCTTACGGAGTCGCACTACGACATCTCTGCTGTTTTTATTAGAACACGACAGCCAACTGTGAACCGCAATAGAACAAATCGGATGCATTTGTCATTCATTTCCGGAAGGATGCAATCTGACAGCTTTTTATCATCAGATAGCCAACAAAAGAATCATTGTCTCGATGCATCCGTCCTTAACGAGTTCCTCAAGCACAGATGCTGCTTCAAGGAAGCAACCAACATGTCTAATTCTGTGGCCATGTCGAAATCGACCATGTTCCGCCACACATAACCAATCGTAACTATGATCATCGTCATACCGCGATAGAGTAAATGATATTACTATTCGTCACCGTTAACCACTCAGCTGACCAAAGACCAGTGGCCAATAACCTAACGAACCTGAACAGAGCTACCAACACCAGTTAACACTTGATGGATGCCCTAATTTCGTCACAGCGGTCGGATGTAGCT